CATGCTTTTGAATGGCTAGGTTGGCAGGAGCTGGGACAAGCGATGGGAGCTCCCTCCATCGCGTGAATTCAATGTTACGACTGTGTCTTCTGACCTTGCAGCACAGAGGCCTCTGAGATTTAACCCATAGCGCCACCACATCCCCTAATCGAACTCCCAGCCTCTGCCTAAACCACTGAGCTATCCAGCAATTAATGAACAAGCCTCTCCTTAGATTCCTTCCAAAGGTCATAGCTCAAAATGTCTAGCAACACTACTTTGGTTCGCCAAGAAGACTCAGCTGTGATGGTAAATTCTTCCATGTTTTCAAAGTAAAAAGTCTCCTTTAAAAAAAAAATAGGTCAAATGCACTTTCTGGGACATCTTGGGCAGGCAATGTGACATTTTGCACAAGAGTTGTAATAATTCAGTACATATCTGTGCTTCTTCCAGAAAAAAAAATAATGAGCACAAAATTTCCTAGTAATCCTTAATGGGGGGAGAAGTCTCATGCAGAGAAATCTCACTGCCAGGAGGAAAAAGGAATGGGTTTTAGATTTCTTACTAAGAGTGAAAGGCTGTGATGTTCACATCCCTAATGAAATTCAACCCTAAAGCACTCAATATGTGTCCTTATAGCAGACCCGCTTGAATGCTCACGTGGTGCCATCTTTTGGGGCGGTAAGGTTTTTGTGCCTTTTCAAGCAATGTAGGGGTGAGGACATTGGGGAGTCCTAGGACAAGCCGGGCTTGAATTCTCTTGGAAGCACAAATGATGAAACTGCGAGGCTACTGTATTTTGGGCAAGAAAAGACAAGACTTGCTGGAAAGGACCCTAATGCCGAGCCAAGCAGGAGGCAGCAGGAAAAGAGGAAGACCAAATACAGTGGTGCCCCGTATAGCGAGGTTAATCCGTTCCGGATTAACCTTCGCTATACGAAAACATCGCTGTGCGGGTAAGGAAAGCCTATTGGAACGCATTAAACTTAGTTTAATGCGTTCCAATAAGCTTCGAAACTTACCCCTCCAGCGATGTTTTCGCGTCCGGCGGCCATTTTGGAGCCGTCGATCAGCTGTTCGGCAGCTCCAAAATGGCCCCCGGACGACCCAATCGTCGCAAAGCGAGTGCGGCGATTGGGGCTGATCCGAGTAGTAGTAGTAGTAGTAGTAGTAGTAGTAGTAGTAGTAGTAGTAGTAGTAGTAGTAGTAGTAGTAGTAGTAGTAGTAGTAGTAGTAGTAGTAGTAGTAGTAGTAGTAGTAGTAGTAGTAGTAGTAGTAGTAGTAGTAGTAGTAGTAGTAGTAGTAGTAGTAGTAGTAGTAGTAGTAGTAGTAGTAGTAGTAGTAGTAGTAGTGGTGGTGGTGGTGGTGGTGGTGGTGGTGATGGTGGTGGTGGTGGTGGTGGTGGTGGTTGTAGTACTAGTAGTAGTAGTAGCAGCAGCAGCAGCAGCAGCAGCTGTAGTATGTTGTATTTATGAGAGGACATGGAGACAAGCTATATCACCATCATCTAAGAAGTGCAAAGCCGGAAAAGATCATAGAGTCCAGCCCCTGCCAAGAAAGCACAGTAGGGAATTGAGCTCCCAACCTCTGATTCCGCAGCCAGATCCCAAAACCACTAAGCTACGCACTCTTATTTTATTACAGCACCAGAGTCTTAGGCCCTGGTCTCATGAGGGGAATGTTCTCTAGTTCTTCAGATAGTTTCCAAACCTCCGTAGTACTGAATCACAGTCACGTAGTACTGTATATATACCAGAGTGAGTGTCCCTAAAATGTTTAGGATTAGTGATAATATTTATTGATATATCAATATACCAGGGAGGGTTTTCTGTCTGGGATATTCTCTTCTGTTCCACTGGCTGCTCCTGGGGAAATATTTTGCACACAATGGACACAAGACCAACATCTATGACTGTGCTGCTAGTACAAGCGCAGCCATGAAAAAAAAAAAAAGCCACACACTTCACAGAAAGCATAAGTACTAAACATAAGTACAAACAGGCAGCTATGCACAGATGGGGGAAGACATGTGGCAATATTAGCAATCACACACACCCCCATTGACATTGGCATATCAACAGTTCAATGTATCTCCCACATATTTTTTTTAAAAAAATTATACACCAATAATGTAATGGTGAACCCCCAAGACCCTTTTACCGACATATCAATGTACTGGTTGTAAAAAAAATTAAAATTAATAAGCGCACCACAGTAATGGTGACCTGACTTCATTTCTGAAAAGAAGCGGGGCAGGAATGCACCTGTGCAACAGAGGTACAAAATAGCACAGCCCTTGCCATGAGGGGAAATGCTCCACAAGATATACCACTGGCAGGGAAAAGGTTTTGGTCCTGAGTGTGCATCGTGTGACCAGGGGAAAGAAAAGCAACAAACTAACTTGGGGACATCTAGAAAACATTTCCCTCATGTGACCAGGGCCTCTGTTATACATTTAGGCTATATTTTTAGGGCGGGGAGAATTGCTACAACATATTCTGATATTAAGTAGCAGCAGGAAGAACTGAATCTAACCCATTTGCTCAAACCGTTTTAGGCCAAGTGCTTTGACCAAGGCTTTCTTCACTTCCTTATTTCTTAGACTGTAGATCAGAGGGTTCAACATAGGAGTAAGAATTCCATACAACATGGAAACAATTCTGTCTTGCTTGGGGGAATAAGAAGCGACAGGGCAACCATAGGTAGCAATGGTAGCCCCATAAAAAAGGCAGACAACAGTCAAGTGGGACCCACAGGTGGAAAAAGCCTTGCGCCTGCCCTCAGCAGAGCGCATGCGCAAGATAGCAGAAATAATATAGATGTAAGAGATCAGGGTGACCAGAAAAGCACCACCTCCTGTAATACCAGCCACAAGAAGAAGGACCAGTTCAGGAAGGTATGTAGAAGAGCAAGAGACAGCCATGACTGGTTGAAGGTCACAGTAATATTGGTTAATTTTGTTGGACCCACAGAAGGATAATGAAAAGGTCAGTGAGGTGTGAACCATGGAATTGATAAAGCCTAATACCCATGTCCAGGCAACTAGCTGAGCACATAGCTGTTTACTCATGATGTTTGTGTAGTGTAAGGGGCTGCATACAGCCACATAGCGGTCGTATGCCATCACAGCTAATAAGAAAATTTCAGTGCCCACCATTTCAATCAGAAAGAAGAGCTGTAGCACACAGCCAGCAAAGGATATGCGCTTGTCCCCTGACAGGAAAATCTGGAGCATCTTTGGCACTGTGACAGTGGGGCAAAGGACATCCAGCACAGAGAGATTACTGAGGAAGAAGTACATGGGGGTCTGAAGGTGGACGTCTGTCCCTATCGCCAGGAGGATGGCCCCATTGCCTGCCAGGGTGACCAAGTAGATCAGCAGAATCACTACAAAGAGGGCCGTGTCTACTTCTGGGAGATCAGAGAGTTCAGTCAGATAAAAGAACTTCACAACTGTTAGGTTGGCAGTCTCCATCTTGTTTCCAATTTTAACGTTCAACAGAAATATCTAAAAGAAACAGAGAAACCAAACTAGTAAATTTTTTTTAAAGCCATCATCTATTAATTATCTAAATTTTAGTTACAGTGAACATACTCCATTCAGCATCCAAAACATTATCAATGACACCATCTTTTTTACAATTAAAATGATCAGCAAGATTTATTGGTTGTTCTGTCTTTGATTTGCTGAGGACAAAATACAGTAAACAAGGGTGGTAACTAGATTCACATGGCACAATAAAAAAAAATCACAAAGCGTATGTCTGTAGTTTTCTTTGCCACTTTGGCCATGAGTGGATCCCAGCTTATCCTGTTCTGTAACTGTAGCTATTTAATTAGTGAAATGCAGCATTGTTCTAAGTAGAGTAGACCACTGTAAACTAATGGACCAGAGGGAAATAGGTCTGCCCGTCTGTCTGTCCATCTGTCTGTCTGTATGTATATGCCAGCTTTCTCCTAATGGATCAAAGGTGGCTTACAGTATTAAAGAAACAAGTTAAAAGCTGACTGGATTTCAGCAGGTCTTCTTTAGGTAGGATTAGACATTTCATATAATTTCACATGTGTAAACTGAATTTTGAAACATTTTTAGAAGAATAGCCATCTTTAGTATTAACTTTTTCAGCACTTTGGAAATTGTAGTGTTCATGTATCATGTTATAATAGAATATATGTCACAACACATTTCTCCTATCCTGGATTAAATAATGATCTGCTGATTTATCTGCAACTCAGTAAGTGAACAAAATCACATTAAAAATTCACACCAAAAAACTAAAATTTCAATCTCTCTCTCTCTCTCTCACACACACACACACACACACTCACACACACACACACACACACACATGCAAACACACACACACACACACACACACACACACACGGGGTGTGTGTAAATATCTGAAAAAATCTTTGTAGTCCACGCTCAGTCTCATTTGTCACATTTAACAGGGAAAAATTCATATCCTAGGTTTAATGAAATCAGTTAATTTAAGCAATATCATCTCTACTGCATCTTCTCAGGCTGGGAATCATGTGACTTTCCAGATTAAAGGCTCCAGATACAATCAGTCTCAACCAAACCATGAAAACTAAAGGAGAGAGTCTCGCAAAGTGTGGGAGGCCACCATTTCTCCACTCTATGATATGTTAATTGGAATGCAGACACACAACATAATTCTAATGAAAACAGAGGCAGAGCGTGGACAAATTCTATTTTTGCTGGTAATGACACAGACTCTTGGCAGTGTTGGTAATTATTAAAGTGGTTGTCAACAGAGTCTATCCAGAATCACAGTGTGGATTTCGAGCTAATAGATCCACCACTGACATGGTATTCTCCCTCCGACAGTTGCAGGAGAAATGCAGGGAACAACAACAGCCACTCTTAGTGGCCTTCATAGACCTTACAAAAGCATTTGACTTGGTTAGCAGGGATGGCCTTTTCAAAATACTTCCCAAGATTGGATGTCCACCTCGTCTCCTTAACATCATCAGGTCCTTCCACGATGGAATGAAAGGCTCTGTAGTTTTTGACGGCTCAACATCAGATCCCTTTGACATCCGAAGCGGAGTGAAACAGGGCTGTGTCCTCGCACCCACACTTTGTGGGATCTTTTTTGCTGTCATGCTGAAGCATGCCTTTGAAACTGCAACAGAAGGTGTCTATCTCCGGACTAGATCTGATGGAAAGCTCTTTAATCGCTCTAGACTGAGAGCGAAGACCAAAGTCCAACTGAAATGCATGCGGGACTTCCTCTTTGCAGACGATGCAGCCATTGTTGCCCACTCTGCTGAAGACCTCCAACAACTCATGAATCGTTTCAGCAAGGCCTGCCAAGACTTTGGACTAACAATCAGCCTGAAGAAAACCCAAGTCATGGGCCAGGGTGTGGACTCACCTCCCTCTATTACCATCTCCACACAAGAATTGGAGGTTGTTCATGACTTTGTGTACCTTGGCTCAACCATCTCTGACCCCCTCTCTCTAGATGTCGAGCTGGATAAACGCATTGGGAAAGCAGCCACCATGTTCTCTAGACTCACAAAGAGAGTATGGCTCAATAAGAAACTGACAACACATACCAAGATCCAGGTCTATAGAGCCTGTGTCCTGAGCACACTCCTGTACTGCAGTGAGTCCTGGACACTTTGTGCCCAACAGGAGAGGAAGCTGAACACCTTCCATATGTGTTGCCTACGACGGATTTTTGGTATCACCTGGCAGGACAGAGTTCCAAATAGAGGAGTCCTAGAACGAGCTGGAATTTTCAGCATGCATACATTACTGAAACAGCGACGTCTACACTGGCTTGGGCACGTTGTGAGAATGGCTGATGGTCGGATTCCAAAAGATCTCCTATATGGAGAATTAGTGCAGGGAAATCGCCCCAGAGGGAGACCACAGCTGCGATCCAAGGATATCTGCAAGCGGGATCTGAAGGCCTTAGGAATAGACCTCAACAGATGGGACACTCTGACATCTGATCGTTCAGCCTGGAGGCAGGCGGTACATCACGGCCTCTCCCAATTTGAAGAAACCCTTGTCCAGCAGGCCGAGGCAAAGAGGAAGTCACAAAGGAAGCAAACCCAGGGAGCTGGACAGGGGACAGATTGGATTTGTCTTCAGTGTGGAAGAGATTGTAACTCTCAAATTGGCCTCCTCAGCCACACTAGATGCTGTTCCAGGTCCTCCATACAGAGCACGCTACCATAGTCTTTCGAGACTGAAGGATGCCTACTATGTCAGCTTCGTTCTTTCAGTCTGTATAACTGTGTATGGATATTGATGAACTACTACTTTCATCACCCTATGCTTTTGGCAATGTGGACAGGGCTGATGGCAATTGGAGTTCAACATTTGAAAAGCCAAAATATTACCAGCTCTGCATTGCACATTCTTCTTTGCTGCCTTCATTAAAACTGTAGGTCTATGGGTATCATCCTGTCAGCATCTAAATAGCATCTAATTGTCAGGTATTTTGAATTGATGAAAATGGTGACAATGACCAACATGCGGGACCCACAACCTGGTGCTTTAGGACAGAGTGTATGTGCTCAGGTTTCCAGCAATTCCATCCCATCGCATCTCATCCCATCTTGTTATTTTGCCTATATCCCACTTTCAGCTAAATTTGATTCTTGTGGCTAGTAATTATTCAAAGAAGGTTGTTCCATTTTGAGTTTATTTTAACTACATAGTTTTTGTACTTCTGTACCTCCCCAATCCTACGGCTAGTTCCCCTTTGTGCTTTCATGACGCCCTTTTGGCTACATAAGAACAGGAAGTCAGAGAACAAATTGGCTATTATTTGTTGTAGTTGTAGTTACGCAGAACTAGTATTAGAAGAAGGAGGGAAGGGGGAAAGAAATTCTTCATTATTGTCCCCCCTTCATGGATTTAAGGTGGTCTTCAATTGTCTTTAATACTAGTAGCACTGAATCATCAATGATGAAAGAAAACAATCAGGCTAAATTGTGAATTAATCCAAAATTAACTTCCCATGTCAAATATTAAACTTTATAAACAATCAAGTGCAGCTTCTTAGGTTGGATTTTGAACCACAAATTCTCACTTGATGCCATGCAGCCTCTGAGGCAACATGCCATGTTCTCCAACACACATCTAAATGGAAAATGCAGTATCTCACACAATATGTTGCACAGCAGTATGCAACAATATTAGCTTCCAAATGAAGCTCTCTCAAAAGTCTGTTTTTTCATTCATTCGTTCATTCATTCATTCATTCATTCATTCATTCATTCATTCATTCATTCATTCATGTAACTTTTACACCACCGCACCTAGTGGCACCCCCTACCCTGGGCAGTTTATCTACTACAGCTCTTAAGATGCTTCTCTGCCAAACCTGTTGTTTTGTAAGAGACCTAAAACTACATGACTCTTAAAATAATCATCATCATGCACTGCAAACATTCAAGAACTGTTCAATGTAACAGTTTTTGATCCACATATTTCTAAATTTGTTCTGATTTTATAGATGATGAATGTTGGGGAGAGTTTGGTTAATACAATCATCCAATGAGTTTTTAGGAATTTTCATAATAGCAATGATGTTCTCCGAGCATTTTGATCTCTTTAGAACAAACACAGATAAGACACAACTGAAGAGCAGCAGCCCAAGCCTTCAAAAGGGGAGAGTTTCTCAAGGATGAAATTCCCATAGTATCTACACACTTACCATGCTGTTTCCTTTTGTCGCCTGTATCAATGCAGTAGTAACAAGTTCTGTGTGCGTTGGTTAAAGGAAATGCTGGTGTATGGTTCTGAAGGAAAATTGAGGACACATTGCCCCCACTCCAAGATAAATGAGCAACTTATTTTTTTTCTCCCCTTCTGTGTTTTTTTTTAGCCGTCGGGGGCAAATATGGCATAAAAACAAAGTGTGCACTTTGGGACAAGAATCTCTGAGGAGCTGTGCCTTAGTAGACTGGAGTTCTCTGTGGGCCAGATGCACAGGGATGCAGAAAGTGTTTTGGAAATCAAGATGCTACTCCAGAAAAGTTAGATTTTTTTTAAAAAAATGGATGAAAATGGATCAAAACTTCTTTGCCCCCCAACCCCGGAATAAAAACGTGAAATAAGTAATATGGGTTAAAACACAGGCTACTGTTTGTTGATTGGAATTCAAAATTTGCCAATCATTTGTCAAAGGGGGCCTGCTGTAGTGCGGAAACAGGTAAGTCAATCAACATATGGTCAAGTCCCCGGCCTCAGGTTCTTGTGGTCTTAGAGACAGAAGTAACCGGGCTAGCTGCTAATAAACACCCCCAGACCTCATGTCATATTTACTTGATCACCGTTGGTGCAGTAGTGGCCCAGTGCATCTCCCCCCCCCCCCCCCCACCACCCACATAAACAATCTCTGCAGCACTGTGAGGTCCGATGCGTTGTTAGCTTACCTGACCTTACAGTGGGACTCACCAAAAAATACTTGTTTTTTTCACACT